GTATAGCGTGGATAATTAACTTCCCGAAATTCGAGGACCAGTATGTACTAGAGGTTTCTAGCTAGCGGAATTTTCGACTCATCTTATTACAGCACGAAACACTGCAAAAATGCATGATCGCACGGGCCCGCCAGTGCGCGTCGCCAATGATTTCTTAAATCAATGAACAACGTAATTATGATAAGCATCCATCGTGATTATTCAAGAAGTTACGTCTCCTCGATTGAAGTTTGCATTTGGCTCTACGTAACGAAGGCTACTACCAAACAAAATGTGCCACGAATGTAACTTCCTTTGAACAGAATAGTCTTTTCCGCGCCTATTCCTGTTGCTTTCTTACATTAGGAGGAAATTCAAATTTCAATATATCCTTCAAAAACTTTAAAAACCTTTGCAATGCATGTGGATTTGATATTGTCGATCCAGAATCCTCCTTCAACGAGTGTACCAAATTTGGAAAGTAACTGCTGCAGCTGTTTCACCGTATACGGACGCGTAAGTTGTCTTATCATTATAACCTGAAAAAATAAGAACAACAATAATTCCATCTTAACATTACGGCAGCAAAATGACTGCTAAAAAGAGCTTGAAGGCAGACTCAAAATTGAATTCTTAAACTTGGGGCACGACTCGTTATTAAGCTTTGTGACTCTATGACCGACCACTGTATTCTAGAAACTTTGAAATTTCCACCTATATATGTACATAATTTGTGTAGTTTTGTTATGTATTGATATATATATATATATATACACGTATGTATATGTGTATGCCTTGTTGTATATATATGTATATATATACATGTACATATATATATGTATATATATAAAGGAATTATCACCACATCGACTGCTCTGGCGGTCTTGGTATTGCTGATATTTCTAATATTTTCATGCGTTTTTCGTGTATTAGGCAAACGGGAATATGTATATTTGGTCTTCGTTTGGATAATTACGTAAAAAATGCATGAAAATATTAGAAATATCAGCAATATGAAGATCGCCAGAGTAATCCCATGCGACGATTCTAAGTCAGTGTCGCTGCTAGGTTGCCTGCACACGTCAATGACGCTTTTGGAAGCACTTAGGAAGTAGTCCGAGTGGTAACAAATGTCACGCATCCACTAGTAAGACTATCGGTGGCTTTCCCTTTCCTGGGGTATATAATAATAATTGCAATAATTAGCCAGTGTACGGACTGCCGGTGCGAAGATGCGATTTTTTTTGCGTAGCTCCCCTCAGGTTTTTGTCACTGATGGCACTCTTTTCCGACAGATGCCTCAGTTTAAAAGAACTGAGACTGGCCACCACGGCTATCGGAAAACATCCCCTTAGAATTTCAGCTTTCTAGTTTTTCTGGTTTCGGAGTTAGCAACTCACTCTCCAAAAATTTTCACGGGCTCATATCTGAGAAATACGCACACCTGAAGGGTGAATTTGAAATCATCAAATTCTACACAGAGGGAATAACTCAAAATTTCAGCTTTATAGTTTCTCTGGTTCCCGAATTAACAACTTATTCGCCAAAAAATTTACAGACCCGTACGTGAGAACCACGTGAGCACAAGCGTCTATTTTGGGAATACAGGTCCGCACATGCGTTTAGATTAAGTTCTGCCCAAATTTTCAGTCTTGCAGCTTTTGTAGGTCACGAGATGAGAAATCGATACAGACGAACATACATACAGAAAACCCCCCGACAATATGAGTTGTATTGCACAGATGTAAAAAGTGCATAAAAAGCTTACTTGATTAACAGGATATCGAGCAGGAGAGACATTTCGCTTACGAACTAGACCATCCACCGTCAAATTGCTCTCAGCCGCCTTGTCAGGAGACCGTGAATGTTTGCGTACGCGCGACTGTTCTGCTAAAAAGCATAATTTAAGGAAATTACACGGCAGTGTAATGACATGCGGATGCGAAATTTTTTTGCAGTTAAGCTGTGAACTCGGGGACCGAAAAAAACTAGAAAGCTGAAATTTTAACGAGATGTTCCCCGTCCACGCAGAACTCAGTGACTTCAAACTTAGCCCTCCGGTATGCGTTGCTCCCACATACGGGTCCGTGGACCGAAGAAAGCAAAAGAACA